CTTCGGCAGTTAGCTTCTCCGTTCAAAAAGTCGAGTCTTTGAATGTAAGAACTGTATGTACAGAAATCACGCATTGCTTTCACTTTTCAGCAGATCATTTCGGCCGCAACCTTGACATGGAACAGACTATACTGCACACCGAGATGTATGAAACTGACCCGAGCATACCAAATCGCACATATCGGCTCTGGATGAAAGATCTGCACGTAGTGAGCTGTTTGAGGCTCGCCCGGACAAGCCTGCTCCTTATATGCAGGACCGACTCATGCATAGCAGGCCGTAACCGGCGTCGGCGGCTGCTCAAACGGCCACATGCCAATGGTGGGCCGAGATGGCCAGACGGAGACAAAGACGATCAGGAAAAACCATCAATGAGATGATAAATCAGGAGGAAAACCAGGGGATGAGCAGGAAAAAGAAACAGACGAGAACGATACGATCATCGAGCAGAGACGATCATTCCGAAATGATCGAGAGCTGATGACAATGCAGCTAACTATCATACGGCTACGGTTATACAAAACTAATATAACTGAGGCCACTAGATGCAGATAAAGAACGATTACAAAAACATTTTAGCAAATACTGGGACGCCGATATGCCAAACAGATTCGACCAGATGGACAACTGAACAGTAAAGTGATCATTCAGCATGACAAAGAAAGAAAACGATAAAAGAGCAAGAATATATGAACGATGTTTTACTTGGACACCAAGTGCCATGTCGAGACGACACTTGAAGTGTTCGAGCCGTCCCAGCTGCGACAGAGGAAACTCCCGCTCGGAATGGCGCCGGCAGACCGTTTCAAAACGACACCCGGCTGCGACGGCCTCAGGCGAGGCTGCAACGGCCTCAGGCGAGCCGACAATGGCATCGGGCGGGGCTGCAATGGCCTCAGGCGCCCTCGACAACCCGCATTTCGAGATGACACTTGCGCTCCACGACTGAAATGGGCAGAGTCGGCTCCAAACGGCATCAGGACAATAGCAACGGAAATGGCAGCAACACTGCGACCCGGAGCGTCTCTCCACTCCAGCGACTCGACAGCATCAGCAACATGAGCTCGAGAGGCGCCTAATGGGACCGGCTCCCGCCGAACGGCGCCACTGCAGATGTGAGACGAGGAACGCGGAGCCGGGCGACGGCTGGCGGGTGGGAATGTGCGCCCTATAACTGCTTGGGCAGAAGGCAAGATCATTCGTTGATTCTTAGTTGAAGTAAGGAAGGTCTGCAGTGCTATTTTAAGACAGCATTCAAATGAAAAGATAGGAAAAGAAATCAGAAGAATAAGAAGAAAGAGAGAGAGGGTGAAAGATACAGAGAAATAATGCAAATACATTAAACGGGCAGTTTTCAGAATTACCACTCAGAGCGGCCATTGATTGGTTGTTGCTGTACGGAAATCCGATGAGTTTTATCCCCTTTCCAAGCATCGTTTATGAATTATACATATCGCAAGAGTTTGGATGGATAGCAACATTTTACTACGCTTGGCAATGTTTATGAATGCCTAAGTTTGACTAGATACTACGCTTATGAGATGCTTATGAATCCTCTCAACGACTCTTGTACTAAAAATATTTGTAAAAGTAGCGCTCACCGCTGCCGATAATGAATTTGTAACAGATCAAGTACGCTTCTGAACAATGATTATGTAGATTGAAACACATACGGGCATCAGAACTTGGCGCCTCTCAAAACTGCACCAGCGGCCGTGGGCGTATCATTCAGCTAAGCAGCCGGTAACCCTTCCCGGATATCAGAGACGCCCGATACGTACGGGAGGGTAAACTTGGCCAAAATAAGTAGGCTGCTGTATAGGAAAACAGATTAGCTGCTGTATTTTCGAAGGAGGAAGATTGCTTCTCATGATTGTTCCGCATACTAATAATTTATAATAAGCAAGCATCATTGCTGCTAAGCCGGATTTCATGTGCTTTTGGAAGATATTCTAAACACAATACATGCTCGAACGTCTTGAGGGGCACACGCATCTCACGAGACCCCAAAAACGAGGCGGGCAGTAGCAACTGGAAAGTCAGCGCAAATCGTTCCGTTACCGCTGAGAAGGTTCCGCTCCATCAGCTCCAATTTACGGTCAGGCTGTCAGCAGCGGGGGCGGCCGCAGGTAATCGGTCCCGTCATGCAAACATGAACTTCGTTAGGGAGCCACGCACCATCAGAACTATCGAAAATCGATTGGCACGAGTAATCACCCGGTTCTGCGAAACACTGCCCTGTGGCTACTTTGGGCATCCGATGATGGGAGGAAAAGTCAGGCTATTATCGTAAAACCATTTCGAACAGAGCGCATAGTAATACAAAATATCATGCGTCTTAACTTTCAATTTACTTGATTATAAGGTGCCACTTTTTACTTTAGTCCCTTGAGCTAGTGTGATGAAGGACCAATCAAGTCCGTAGACACATTTAATTTTTTTTTCTGCCACTGGAAACATAAATCAGCAAACAACTAGCCGAAGAACCAAGTGGTAGGCGATATCAGATCATAATCGTTACACTGTAGTCATATTTGCGCAGCAGTCACCGCGATAACAGATGGCTATTTTGGCTGCCTGGTTCGCGCCGTGTATGCCGACCTAATCGGTGGCCTCGGCAAATAGTGGACCTGTGATCAGTGTGCACAATGCCACGGGGTTGCGACAAATATGAATACAGATGTGCGGGTCATGTTGCATTTTGTTTGCAGCGGGAAGAGTAAATGGAAGGAAAAGGATGGCTTCCGATATAGTAGAAGTGAAACGTCACAAAGTGCCTTAGGGAACCAAACAAATATTCCACTTCGAAACGTTTTTAGGCAAGTAACATCCAAGGAGAAAAAGAACATGGACGCATACACAAAGGCAACGACAGCAATCTTGAAACGGCCATGTCATCGAAAAGACATTCACAAACACATAAACCACAACTATTACAATAATTCTCTCTTGCCAATCATTAACATCCCCTAACCCTAGCTCCATCTTTAACATTAGCGTAGCTTCATCACTGGCCCAAAGCATATGAGAAGATTCAGTACCAATGTCAGTACTGACTTTATCTGTAGTTATTTCTCAATCTATAGTCTTTCATAGATATCACCTAGGTCTAGCACATCCCTGAACCTGCAGTCTCGGCTCTATTCCGCCAGACTTAGTCCCAGTCTGAACCGCCGCTCCCGCCTCAGACCCCGGCCGGAGTCGAGCTCCAGTGCAGAGCGGCCGGAGCCGCCGGGAGAGCAGGGGAGAGCAGGGGAGAGCGGCGGGAGAGCGGCGGGAGAGGAGGACGGCAGCGGCACGGACGGCTGCCGGAGCTGCCGCGCAGCATCCGCCGGCCCCACTATCGACCGCCGGCCCGCAGAAGGCATTGATCCGTTGTCATGGCGACGCAGATTGCCGGGCCGAGAGGAGCGGCGGAGGCTGCGGCCCGGCCAGCCGGCAGAGCCAGCGAGCGGGCGCCGACAGCAGCGCGCACCAAATGTGTTATGAAAGCCAGATTTAATTTAGCCGCTGAATGTGGGATGATTGCGCGCTGGCCGCAGCTCGCCGCGCGCGGATTAATTATAGGCCAGCTCGGAGGCTGCGGTCGGCCGGAAAACCGGCCGGCTCTGTGCAGCGATTGTGCCGGGACGGCCGCCGGGTAGCGCCCGATATACACACACTATGCAGCTGGCCTGGAGCTGAACAGTGAACACTGGAAACCCAGCGACCAATATACACACTATACAGCTGGCTGGGAGCTGAACACTGAACAGTGAACACTGGAAACCCAGAGCCCGATATACACACACTATACAACTGGCCGGGAGCTAAGGCCCTGTGTCCGGTATGTACCGAGGAGCTGAACGTCGCCTCCGGTATACAGAAGTCTATGCCTAAAGTTATATAACGGCAGGAGCTTGCTGAACGCCCGCTCCGAGTATACCTACAGGCTGCAGCACACCAGGATCTGCGACATCAATGCCGGAGGTGGCTGCGTCGCAGGATGTGACCTAAAAACTGCAGCATATACGATGAAATTGCGCCGCACGACACATTTTGATCATTCCTTATAGTCGTGAGGGACTGCGGCGAGCGTCGCAGTCTGCCTGTCCTGATAGACTGTCCCGCAATACACGGTCTGCCTGTCCTGATAGACTGTCCCGCAATACACGGTCTGCCTGTCCTGATAGACTGTGCCGCAATACACGGTCTGCCTGTCCTGATAGACTGTGCCGCAATACACGGTCTACCTGTCCTGATAGACTGTACCGCAATACACGGTTTGTCCTGCTAGAATGTACCGCGGGACACACCACGTAGGCCGTCCAGTGCTTTCGAGACAAAAAAACAGACATGTACCTAAAATGACATTCATCGCAAGGTCAGAAACCAAACCTAATTAGAAAAGCACACTGTGAGGAATGTGGAAATGGGGTAGACACCAGAGGATAGAAAAGTTAAGACTGTAAAAAGACAGCGTATATATAGGGGCTGATGGTTATAGTGGTTTGATATAAATAAGCTTTTCATTTGAGTGATGGCCAAGATGGCATCATGGCTATTGCAAAACTACAGACACGATGGTAAAAGTTGAACTTGTTAAAAAGTTGCAGCAGATAATAGCTGACCATTCTTAGAAGAAATATAATCCCTAGTCAATATTACCATAAACGAGCACTCTGCCAATCATATTACGCTATTTTATATTGCGAAATTGACCGTCAGCCTTAATTTGCTATGCATAATGCCTTAACATTATATAGTCAAATTTAATGGCTGTTTGCCCAGGGGTCTCATGTTCTAGATATTGCACGTTTCATTCAGACCACCTTTGGGGCTTGTATCGGATATTTCTTTTTACATTGCCTATACCAGGCCAGGACGCTTCATTTGGATTAGATTGGACATGACTGCTGTTCTCTATGAATGGAATAATAATCAAGTGATGAAAGGTGATTTTAAATATTAGAAAACGGATTTAATACTAATGCAAGAAACAATACTTAGCATTCCTTTACCTCCAAGCCAGCCCAGCTCCTAGTGCAGGGTTGAACAGAAAGTGGCAGACAAAGGCGGTACTTGCCTCTGATGATCCTCCACTGCGCCTATAAAACAAGGAAGACGAAAACGTTAGTTGATGCAAAACGCCCATGGACAGCGTAAACGGATTATTCACAAGCCGAAGTCCATTAATATGCCGGCCTTTATAAGCAACATATGTGTAATGGGGAAAAGGGACAGTACATTCGGACAAATACGCGATAGCGTGGTTCTTAAAAAGGAGCTCTAAAGCGGCGGGCAAAAACAAACGCTGCTCGGGTGAAATGACGGCGTAGCACGGTGAGCATTTAGGGCACAAACCTCTCATAGTGGGGACTGCCGATCTATTGGGTATCGCAGCGTCTATTTTGTTTGTCAAAAACGTCTATTTGACAGTTTTTGGCCGCATGCCTCGGTTCCAGCGCGGCCCGGGGGCCGTCACGCGCCATTCAGCCGAGTCGTTAATCATTGTCGGCCGCGGTGCGTGGGTACGCAGCATGTGGTCGACTCGGTACCGTCGGTACCAATAACGGTTTGACACAGGTAATGCATGCCTTTGTCTCATGCAATGACACCGTGCAGCGCACAGCAATGATGCAACATTCTGAAGACAGTGTTGTAATGGTTTTACGCTGATTATTGACCGACTAGTGGTTTGAAAAGAACAAAGATCCTGTTCATGAACTTTTATTAAAACATTTTCGTTTGTTTTCCAAGGATAGGTATTCTCGTATTCTCCATCAAACCGGTGACATGAGTAACAACCAAAAGCGAGATAAAAGAACACTTAGGGGAGAGTGGGGCAAAGCAGCCACCCTAACGCTTCTCACGATGCCAACGCTTGATTTTTAAACTTGGAAAGATTCTTTCTATGCCAATGTGATCCCTATTAAATTGCCTTTTATTTCAACTGCGTTTTATTTCCAAAGGCGTTCACATATGAAAGATATTGACAAAACTTTAAACCTATGCATATTGGCCACTTTGCCCCATACCCTGGGGCAAAGCGGCCACCGGTGTCTTCTCAAGTCCCGATATGAGAAACAAAATAGTTGCCTCGTGTACGACTAGGGTATTTGATGGTGACAAGGTTAAGCGAGGATGGATGTTTACTTTATCATCTTCCACCTGTAGGTAAACAAAGAAAGGATTTTCATGAAAATAAACATTTAATTGCATTATTAGGCAACTCATGCAACTGAAAAGTGGCCAAGATGAACGCATGACGACACATTTGAATATAAATAATGTTTTTATTTTTATCCAGATGGAAGCAACATATGGCCAATTGGGGGGGGGGGGGGTGGCCACTTTGCCCCGGCCACTTTGCCCCGCGCATACCGTCCGAGACAAAAATATTCCAGCTAAGCTATTAGTGGGGTAAAAAACATTATTAAAATTGGTAGAATACATGTACGATAACCATGCAATGCATGGACAAGAACGCTTATAAAAATTCCAAACGGTTATGGAATAACATAACATTAACAAAATTGTAAACATAGTTGGTAACCTGGCAAGAAATGCTTTTCCGTGTTTCACAGAACAATGGTGATGGGCCTGAAACCCCGGTCTGGCTCATTCGAACGACCGTGAAGAGAAGTATAATTGGAAACCATAAATTGGAACTGACGCCAGCTATGAAGGGCTAAAACGATGGGTGGCCGCTTTGCCCCGGGTGGCCGCTTTGCCCCACTCTCCACTACTTTATTCCAGCCTAACGAGTATTGAAACAAACCGAGCGACCGCGGCCACACGCTTACTTGCGCGCCCAGAGCACAATCTGTCATACTGGAGCACTTGTTGTTCTGAGCTTATCCCTCACACAAATTGATTGTAAACCATTTCTGAGGCAGCTCGGTCTTCAACAACCTTTTTTTACTCCCACACCTCAATGTATGCAGAATACACTATCTGACTGAGCTGCTTGTTGCGAAAGCATGACTGATCCGCTCGAGGACGTCGCTTTCCGCATACTGAGAAGGAAGAGCACCAACGTTTTCCATCTCATCCTGCCGTCCGTGGGCAAAGCCGAGCGGGAGGTTGTTCATACAGGTCGATGTCGATGTCAACCTACAGCCGGTGAATGTCAAAGCAAACACACCAAACCGACACAAATGAGGTCCAAATAACGCTGGAACAGTTCATTACAGGATTCAGGCCGGCATGCGCCTGTATTACCCATGGTTTTAGAGCAATGGAGACAGTTGTTGCTACGGATGGGACCAATACAAACGTAATGCTGAGGTGCAGCCATAAGAGTTGACACCATTGTATCATAATAGAACGAACCAGACCCATTAAGTTTTTTACGAGTACCTATATAAGAGCACAAATATTTTGATGAGGTAGTTGAGTTCGAAAGAGGATATTCATGCTTTATGTAAATGAGCTTTCTCCACTAGGTTCGTTATCAATACTAATGCATCATATTAATACATGCAAATACGATTTCGAAAATGTTTTACGATGCATTTTCCTGCAAATGTAAATAAGTCCGTTCTTGGCTTTAGGAGAATGTGTCGTTAAATGGTCCATAGCACTTCACTCAATTTTCTGAGTGTGCCGTACAATTGATGCTGACAGCTATTTTCGAAGCCATTAATAATCGACCAACATTTCAATTCAAGCGAAATACATAATTCAGTGCCTGCAATTCAGCGTCGTAATAGAATTGTGGGACAATATACATAATAAAACCGTTGACACTTAGCCAGCTTTTAAACCCAATAAATCGCTTCTACATTGCACCATAAACTACTCTATAAATACATTTGACAAAACATAAATTGATCAATGTTAAACAGGGAGAAACTGCTTATGAACGACTTCTAGTGACATAGTTGAGCAATCTACAGAAAAGCGGCTAATCCCATGGTCTCACTCCAATCGGATCAAAGTGCTGGAGCTACCATCCCCCATACGGCGAATTCCAAACACCTACTTCCCCTGCCACGCAATTCCCTAATCCGCCCGCGGTCGCCGCATCTGACTCCGTTTCAACTCATCAGCCTTGGGCAGTGATTTGTCCGCCCACTTTGAGTCGAACTGCCAGCGCACCGCGGCGCAGTACCGCTCACAATCTCTGCCGGCGCCGGCCCATACCCGGCGGCGTCCCGAAACGCCTCAACTGGGCCGCCGCGCCGGCTGCCGCGCAGTGTGTCTCCGCGCGACAGGTGACGTCAGTGGCGCGCAGCGGTGACCTCGCTGACCTCCCGGGGTCGGTCGGGGTCAGAGGGGGCCGGGGACGGGGGACGGAGACCGATGGCCGGCAATAACTCGGCGCCGCCGTCGGCGGGACAATGCCGCGATCTGAGACGCGTCCTCAGTCTGAGATGGACTGCAGCCCCCGGCGCGGGCGGCCGGGCCTCAATGAACCGCGGCGGCGGGCAGCGCGATAGCGGGCCGGTCACGGCGCCAGATAACGGCCGCTGCGGGACCGACTGCTCCAGTTTCAGCCGCCAAGCCGAGGGACTGAATGTCTGGACTGAGGGACCGACTGTCATAGCCACTGCTCGAAGAGACCGGTCGTTCCAGTTTCAGACGCTGTTCTGAGCTCAGAACTAGTGATGTCAATTACAGAAAATCGGAATACCGATACCAAACCAAATACCAACCAAAACCGTGGGAAAATACCGAAACCGAACCAACTTTGAAAGATGAGGGAAATACCAATTTTTTACCAATTTCTTAGCCTCTTATACATTAGTAAGGGTTCATAATACCAACAAAATACCAAACACATTAGGATTGGAATACCAAATACCAAGTTGGTATCGGTTTGGTATCGGTTTTCGAAAAAGTTGGTATCCGATTGACATCTCTACTCAGAACCTAGCTCAGTCCCTAGGGACTAAGTGGTCGTCCAACTGCTGCTCACAGAGACTTCATGTCACAGCGACTGGTCTAGAGAGAGACTGGGTGTTGCGATCGCTGTTCTGAAACTAAATGTCTCAGTTCCAGTCACTGCTCTGCTCTCAGGTATTGAGTGTGAGGGACCCATCTCTAGCAGAGTCACTGAATGTGCTGACTGCTGCTCCGAGTGACTGTACCCGCTCTTGCATATCAGCAGTACGGGTGATTTACGTGTGTATCCCGATACGGTGGATATAATGATGGAACGGTCGGGTTATCTCGGCTGCCGGGGTGATACAGGATGAGGGCGGCTCCCGGACATATTTATCCCACTTCCACTGCCCTGATGGTTGTGCGGTCATGCGAGATGTACCAAAACAAAGGGCTTTGATATCGAACACATCTGACTGATGTGCTGTTCGTAAAAATAACAAAGGTATAACGATGAGTCATCTGAGCAAGATACGCGGATGCAGAGCAAATGAGGTTGCCCATATCAAGCATCAGAGTTTGTAAGTGATAGGACCACAATGCATGGCTCTGTTGCGCTATTCCGCAGAAAAAGCGCGAGAGAGATCTCGGGAGGCAACCACATTGAAATATCCGTGGAGAGCTATTTCATGAATACATTTAAGAATAAGAGCATGGGTCTGTTGTACACGGAGTAGAAAATGTAGCTTGCATGACTTTTGACTAATTTACCTCCGGAATACCGTTTACTTTCCTAAGAACTGCAGGATCCACGCCGATTGTAGTGAATCATTTAAGAAGCAGGCTCTGTTGGTTCAGCCGAACTGATACAAAGATTTTATCTAAACCTCGCCCTGAATTTTCTACATATATTACACTAAAATGCAAATTAATACCTACTGTATTATGCATTTTATTCGATACTTGAAAGTTGAATTACTTTTATGCCAGTTGTTCGCAATGGAAAGAGGACCACAACACCTCTCCCCTCTCTATCTCTCCCTCCTCGCTCTCACTTCCACGCCAAACGAGCGCTGCTCGTGACGAAAAGCGGCATCCCTGTGGCGCCATTTTCTCATCTGACGTTGTCATGGCAACCATCTTGTGCATTGATCGGGGCGGCGCGGCCGACGCCGTCTTACACCGGCGGGCGCCCCGGTGAGCCGAGACCACTGGGCCGGCACGTAAGGTGAGCCGAGACCAGTGAACCGGCACGTAAGGTAAATCGAGACCGGAGGGA